TTTTGTATTTTTAGTAGAGACGGGGTTTCACCATGTTGACCAGGATGGTCTCGATCTCTTGACCTCGTGATCCACCCGCCTCGGCCTCCCAAAGTGCTGGGATTACAGGCTTGAGCCACCGCGCCCGGCCCTACTTTTATTATTTTTTGAGACAGGGTCTTACTCTGTCACCCAGACTGGAGTACAATGGGGAGATCACAGAGGAGCTAGGACTACAGGCACCCACCACTGTGCCCAGCTAATTTTTTTTGTGTGTGTGTGATACAGTCTCACTGATGTCAGGTGATCCGCCTGCTTCAGCCTCTCAAAGTGCTGGGATTACAGGCGTGAGCCACTGTGCTCAGCCCCCAGCTTTTTCATTTTTAGTTTTGTAGAGACAGAGGGCTTGCTTTGTTGTCCAGGCGGGTCTTGAAGTCCTGGCCTTAAGTGATCCTTCTGCCTTGGCCTCCCAAAGTACTGGGATTATAGGTGTGAGCCCACAACACCAGCCTATTTTTACATATTTGAAAATTTTCATTAAAAATATTTTTCAAGGTTGGGCGCGGTGGCTCAAGCCTGTAATCCCAGCACTTTGGGAGGCCGAGGCGGGTGGATCACGAGGTCAAGAGATCGAGACCATCCTGGTCAACATGGTGAAACCCTGTCTCTACTAAAGCTACAAAAAAAAATTAGCTGGACATGGTGGCACGTGCCTGTAGTCCCAGCTACTCGGGAGGCTGAGGCAGGAGAATTGCCTGAACCCAGGAGGCGGAGGTTGCGGTGAGCCGAGATCGCGCCATTGCACTGCAGCCTGGGTTGGCACCTGGTGACAGAGTAAGACTCTCTCAAAAAAAAAAAAATTGTTTTTTCGAAGGAAAGAAATCCTATATTTCAAATATTTTCATCCAAATAAAAGTTTGTTTTCCAGAACGACTCATTTACCAAGAATTTTGGATAGCTGAAGTTTTACTGTGCTTTGGAGGTTCCCAGCAGGAGTCAGTGATTGAAGCTCTACAAGTGGATTAAAATCAAGGTTGTAAATGTGAAATGTTAGGACATGCTATAAGAAATTTCGCAACGCCAAACCCTCAACTGCCTCCACCTGCTCCCCAACCTTCACAACCACGCTGGTGCATAGGTGGCCCCATTCCGGCCTCCCCACTGGACCCTCAAGCTCCTGGCTTCCCACGCCTGTCCCCACCCCTCCATGGAAAACGCTCTCACAAGGCCTGAGCAGCCATGCTTGTTCTTTTGTCCTGGCAGACATCTCAACCCAGTCTCTGCTGCTCGAAATGCCGACATCCACCTGCTCCCCCTGACCCCTCCTGCTGAGTCCCCCCAGAGCCCACCTGCTTCTCCCCCTGCCCCTGGCTCCTCCCTTCACTACTCCCTTGCCAGCTGCTCTCCCTCCCTACCCCACTAAGTGTCAGGGCTTGCTTCTCCCCAACCCCATGCTCCCTGACCAAGCTCCTCCATGCCCATGACTTCAAGCACACCCCCATGCCCACTCTCAAATCTACTTCCAGCCAGCTTCTCCTGGAAGGCTTGAATGTATCTCTCTGCAGGGGACATCTCTGCTTGGATGCCACTAAGGCCCACAGGAATTCCAAACTGAATTCCTCTTCTCCAGCCCCTTCCTCCTCCTCCAGGTCTCAGGTCTGTTGGGCGGCATCGCCCACTTACAACCGAGAGCGGAACTGCCCCCACATCCTTCCCTCTGCCTCATCCCCACATCTAGCCATAGGCAAGTTCTTACATTTGTTCTTGCCACTCATACTATGTTACCTGGTTCCTTAATCTTGCCCAGACTTAGTTTTCTTATCTGTAAAATGGGAGCATTAACAGTATATACCTCCAAGAGTTGTTTGAAAAGTTACATGGAATGCACTTAGAACAGGGCCTGGCAGACAGTGAGTGCTCAGGTCAGTAGGACAGCAGTCCCTTTCATCCTCCTCTTCCCCCTACCTTCTGACTGCAGTCTACCCACCATCTCCCAGACTCAGTGAGAAGGGTCTTTCTAAAATGCAGATCTGGGCTGGGTGTGGTGGCTCACGCCTGTAATCCCAGCACTTTGGGAGGCTGAGGTGGGTAGATCACCTGAGGTCGGGAGTTAGAGACCAGTCTGACCAATACGATGAAACCCCGTCTCTCTACTAAACATAACAAATTAGCCAGGCATGGTGGTGCATGCCTGTAATTCCAGCTACTTGGAAGGCTGAAGCAGGAGAATCGCTTGAATCCAGGTGATGGAAGTTACAGTGAGCTGGGATTGCACCATTGCACTCCAGCCTGGGCAACAAGAGCGAAACTCCATCTCAAAAAAAATAAAATAGGGGGGATGTGGTGGCTCATGCCTGTAATCCCAGCACTTTGGGAGGCCGAGGGGAGCAGATCACGAGATCAAAAGATGGAGACCATCCTGGTCAACATGGTGAAACCCGGTCTCTACTAAAAATACAAAAATTAGCTGGGCGTGGTGGTGTGCATCTGTAATCCCAGCTACTCAGGAGGCTGAGGCAGGAGAATCACTTGAACCCAGGAGGCAGAGGTTGCAGTGAGCCGAGATTGTGCCACTGCACTCCAGCATGGTGACAGAGCGAGACTCTGTCTCTAAATAAATAAATAAAATGCAGATCTGGCCATGCCACGCCTCTGTCCTAAGCCCTTCAATGGCTCCTGGCTATGTTCCCATAAAGTTGAGCTCCTCATTGGGCCTACAGATGCAGGCGAGGTCCAGGTCCCTGTTTTCTCTTCAGCGTCACTGGCTCCCAGGCCACACCCCTTGGCGCCTGAGGTCAGCACCCTGTCGCACCTCACCACGTTTGTCAGGGCAGTGCCCTTCCTTTGCCAGGGATGCCCTTGCTGTCCCTGCCTGTTCTCTGAGTGTCTGAGAAGCTACCCTGCACTTCCCACCGCCTCTGCCCCATTGGCCGAGTGCTGGCGGCGGGTAGTGTCCCACATTTCTGGACAGCAGACTGAGTCCTAAGAAAGTTGCCCATCAGTCCACAAGCTCCTTAAGGGTAGGATCTACATCTTGCTTATCTGAGATGAGCCAGTGGCCAGCGCAGAGAAGGGAGAGATGAGGCAAAGAAAGGAAAAAACAAGTAGAAGCTGAGACAGAGATTGAATCTGGGAGGCGGAGGTTGCGGTGAGATGAGATCGCGACCCTGCATTCCAGCCTGGGCGACAGAGGGAGACTCCGCCTCAAAAGAAAATAGGCCGTGCGCAGTGGCTTACGCCTGTAATCCCAGCACTTTGGAAGCCAAGGCGGGCAGATCACTTGAAGTCAGGAGTTCGAGACCAGCCTGGCCAACATGGTGAAACCCTCTCTCTACTAAAAATACAAAAATTAGCCAGGTGTGGTGGTGCATGCCTGTAATCCCAGCTACTAAGGAGGCTGAGACAAGAGAGTTGCTTGAACCCAGGAGGTGGAGGTTGTAGTGAGCCGAGATCATGCCACTGCACTCCAGCCTGGGTGACAGAGTGAGACTCCACCTCAGTTAAAAAAAAAGGAAAGATAAATGGGAATATCCAGCTACCTGGGCCTGCATCCCTCAGGGTTCCCTCTATTGAGCCCTGTGCCTTC